CGTCATCATCATCATGAAGATAAAGTGACTTTAATGATACAAAGGTATATCTTAAATACAACAATCATAACAATGATAACGATAGTGGGGAGGGGATGAACAATTCTGACAAGTTCAGGGAGTTAAAATGTTACTCAAGTCATGAAATTGGATGAAATAGTAATAATATTTACAGAGCATCATGAAGAGAGAGAGAGAGAGTTGAAGGTGGAAAAATAATTCAGTTCAGAATTGGAATTATATCTTAGTCAGGTTAGTTCATGATGGGTTTTCAAGAGAAGGAATTTTTTTCTCTTCTCTAATCATTTCATTCGTCCTTTATTGTATTATTATTAGAATATGTATCGATTCAATCAGCTGATTGATTTCTACTCTTGAGTGTAAACTATTTTTACTGTTTGTTCATTCATGGAGGTTATTATGAATTCAACAGGTATTAAGAGGCTCAGCTAAGTATTTGTTTTGTTTTTAATCAGGTGACATGTTATTTTTGTGAATCTCCTTCATGGTGAAATATATTCCGCTGAATAATTTTCTATCATGATTATTGATACAAATAAGACTTATATGCATCTTACTATTAACCAATTTATTCAATATAATAGTTTGATTCTTTGTCTAATCTCAATCAAGTTTGAGATTTCCATGGTGATCTGTTGAACGATTTAGTGATTGTTCAGTTTATTTAGGATTAAGATTAAAAAAGATGAACTTTCATCTCTCTACCGATTTATATATCATGTCACTTATCTCATTATCTATTTAAATTGAAATTAAATTATTCATCTATTTATTTACCTCTTTTCCATATCTTATCATCTGTAATCTCAGTAATTTCATGTGCTATTAATGATTACATTACTTTAATCATGTAAGGATTACATTCATGATGAAATTCACCCTTGAACAAGGATAAACCTTAACAAATATTTAGTTGTTATCATTGAGATGTTTATTTCCGTTTCTTTTTTCATCAAATACAAAAAAAAATCATGAAATTTGGTAAAGGTAGAAATGAGAATGACAAAGTTACATATTGACGATAACTTGTAAATACCCTGAGGGCATAAACTTATCGTTAGTTGTAATGATTACAAGTTTTGTTATTAGAATTTTTTTCCCAGAATTTAACTTGATAAGTTCCATGATAATATTTTTTGATTTTCGACTGAATTTTGTATCTTATTCATTCCTGTTTGGTGATCAGGAAGAAAAAAAAAACTTCTCCAGAACTTTGATAGTTTGATTATATGGTTAATCAGTTAAGGATAATGATTGTGATCAACTTGAAGTTGATCTAAATTAAACTTGAGTCTCTTGATTGATTTGATTGTTGACTATTAATTAATCTATTAATCCGATTTGTTTTTCTTATTTCAATCAAAGTTTAATTAGATCAATGATCAAGTTAAACTAAATCCAATTGCAACATGATAATCATCATGTTGATAATATAAATAAATCCATAACCATGGGATCGGAAACTGACAGTTAGATTTTGATATAAATCATCATCATCATCCTGATAATCTTGAAAATGAATAATTAACATTGGTAAGGTTTATATCTTGAAAGGTTCATGATAATATTCATACATCATGAATTTTGATCAGGAAAAAAAAAGTTGAAAGGTTTTGAGTTTAAGCTCTGAACTTTTTCAATATCGATTCACTTGTTGATCAAACTAATATTTATTGAGAGTTTAAATTATATCAACAACTAATATTTAAACACTTATCTAAATTGTTTACCCAACAATTAAACATGACCCTCAATCCTTTAACTAACAATTAATCATCATGATTATTATATGATCAACATATGAGCCAAACTTTTATATTATCCAAAGGCAGCACTTGAAGTATAAATTTAAATTCATTTAATAAACACAATTAACAAACTATTTATTCAGATTGGGTAAAGATTCAAATTTGAATTACAATTAATGAAGGGAAATTAATTAATTAACTAACTGTTTGTGTATGTTAATTGAGATTCATGGCTCAGGTAATTAGAAAGGTTACCAAAAAAAAATGATTTCCATGAATTAAGAAAAAAAAAGTTCTAAATATAATCGAAGCTCAGCTGAACTGTTCTGATGTCGAGAATCGAGCAACTGAGTTCATGGTACTTGAGGATTTTTCCTCCATCTTTCTTTTTGTTTCGAAGAAAATTTTTCTCTCTTAGAACTTTTTCTCCCCCTGATTCCATGCGAAACAATCCATCATCTTCCTCATCATCATCATTATCAAGGTAATATTAATAATAATAGTTCCAATTCTGAATAGTTATTATTTAGTATTCTCATCATGTTTCCACTTTTATCATCATGTTCATTCACTTTCAGGTAGATACTAATATTAGTCTCCATGTGAACCTATTACCCTGAAGGGTTTTACCCCCTGAATATTATATATATTTTATACATTATATCCTCATGAAGCTTATAAGCAATTAGCTTGAAACATGATGATGAACTCATTTTATTTTTGCCAGATTAACACTTCATTTAGCTTCATGATAACTGAGAAAACAATTACATGATCATGAAGACAATCAAAAATAATTAAAGTCAAAGTAAATATTTTCATTCAAGCTAAGGTTTCATGATGAAATTTCATTGAGATATGTGAATACATGATGGAAATATGGAGATGAAAAGTTCAGTTTTGCAAGGAAAAAGTTCTGATGGTTTTCAGTAATGAATTTTATTTATACCTCAGACTTTATTCTGGGATTTTTTTGATAAAATAGCTGAACAGAGAGTAGAGAGAGAGAGAGAGAGAGAGAGAGAGAGAGAGAGAGAGAGTTGAATGTATTAATATCTCTCTCTCTCTCTCTCTTGTTGATGGATTATATTTACCGTTATGATATAATCTTGGGAAATACAAAACTCACAGCAAAGACTCATGATTATGATGAACATGATTCATACACTCATTGAACAGAGGGAAACCAGAACTTCATCCTCTTTGCATACACCAAACACCCTCTTCCAAGTGATATTGAGTTTGCATTTGTGTTGATGTATATAAATTCATGAGTGATGAAAATAATAATAATGAATACCTCATGTTGAAACTCACCATGATGATGATGATGATAAAAGAGTTGAAAATGAAAATGAAACTGAATCCATTTTAAAGGTTTAATCATTTACCGTTACTTTTGCTCAACAAATATGATAAACTTGATAATGCAATTCAATGCTATCTACCATCATCATCATCATCATCATGCATACCCTGTGTGTTTATATGTCTTCATGATGGTTAATATAATCATCATCTTATGCATACCTTTGATTATTTATTTTAATGGCGGTAAGTTTTAAATTTTCATCAACATGAAACAAAATGCTTGGTGATTTCAATGGTTATACATTATGGATTCAGGCTGAGTATTCAGAAACAAATGATGATCATGAGTAATGTTGTTAATACATGAGATGAGGATGGAGTTGACGAAGATGATGATGATGATGATATGGAAGATAAGTGGGAAAGAATGTTTCCATTTTAGAATAAGAAAATTTCTCTTTTATCTCAACAAAATGGAAACCTAGTCTCTCTCTCTCTCTCTCTCTCTGAGTTGCACTTTCTCTCCCTAATTTTCATCAACTATTAATGTATTTATGATGATTATTCAGATAACATCTTAATCTTGATCTTTCAACTTTTCCATCATCTTCATAAGGTTCGGAGATTTGGTGACCTGATTTGATTTTTGCTTTTTAACGAAAAAAAAGTCCAACTAATAATTCACATAGACTTTACTCTTGCAATTGCAAATCATGAATTGAATCACAAATTGGGTGTAATTGGATTGCATGATGACGATAATCAAGATGATCATGCATCTCAACTAATCTTAATAATTCTGTGAAAGAAAATAAAAGTTTTTTTTCGAATTTGTTTTCCTTTCCTATTTACTGAACTACCTGAACTTTAATCAACAACTAACATCTATCTTCACTCTCTCTCTCTCTCTCTTCCTTCATCATCATCATGCTTATTATCATTTCAATTGATTGTTTCCATGATGATCATTAATAAAATTATAATTTTATCCCATGAAGGTTCATAATCATCAGAATTCAGATCCATAGAGAGATCAAGGGAGAGGTCAAGCAAAGTGTAAAAGAATAAGCAAAATAAAAGAGAAGAAAAAAAACTTTCGAATAGAAAACAAAAAAGATTTTCATGATAATGATGCTGAATATGAATATGAACATGATCATCATCATCATCATCATGGTTTCTCTTTGATGATTAGAATGAGGATATATTAGGTAAATAGAAAATTTCTTTTCCTTTCCATTTGGGGAACAGAAAAATCTTTTGTAATATTAACCATTCACATCTAATTTAAATGGTAGTTTGTATAATCCATCAGGGATTAGACTTCATTTTCAATCTACTTTATTGTATTATTATCCGTGTGTTTTACTTGATGAGTAAAAGTGGATAATAAAGCCTGAGGGTATATAATGAGCATCTCTCTCCCTCTCTCTCTCTCTCAGATAATACAAATTGAATATGAAACAAGAAGTGAAAAAGTAAAATGTTAACAAAAGGTGATCATATAATATATTTACTATCAACAACATTACACCAATACCCATTTGATTGTTGATAATTCATCTTATCAGTTGATTATATTTACTTTTCCTTAACTAATACAAGCAAAGATTCAATAACAAACCGGAAAAACTGTTTGACTTTTAGCTTTGATTAAATGGTTGTTACATGTTTCAGAATCTAATCAATCAAATATACAACTAAATATTAACTTAATTATCTCATTAATTGAACATAATACTAATCATATACACATATATTTACACTATAATGTTTTACAAATGTAATAATATTATCATTTTGTCCAATTCTCAAAATCGTAAGTAGCAAATTAGCTGATTAAGTTTTACGATTTTCAGAGTTTTTTTTTTGGTTAACCAGATTAACCAATTTACTAATCATTAGAAAAAGATTTCAGGATAGATTTCAATCAAAGTCTTTAATTAATAGTTATTTATATGATATAATTACTCTAATTAATGGTCAGTGGTCAATATCGGTGATTATAATTAATCTTAATTTGATTAACTTGTTTACCAAGTGAAGGAAAAAAAATCAAAATTCTAATTCCTTTGCAATCCAATAGGTGTCGTTAGAAAGCAGGGAGACAGAAATTGTCATTTGTTTAATCAGGAAGTTAATTAAAAGTTTTGATTGTTGGCTATGATTCCAAGGCTAACAGTTAATTGAGTTTATTGTGCAAGGATGGAGAAGAGTTGAATTATTGATTCAGATTGTGATTAATTGAGAGTAAAAAATAATATAAATGTAAAGATATGAGGTAATATAAATAGTTTTAAATGGTTCGAGTCAAGTTGATCCAATGATTTGTATTGAACTTTTTTCCGATTATTTTGAACACTTGGAATTCATGATTGACTGAATTCAGGGTGAAGACACCGAATGAGATAATAATTGAGCAGGTTGAAAGGTATCAGGTGATATATAAGGTAACACATCGTCGGGATAAAGTTTCTCGAGTTTAGAGGCAATAGTGGTTCGATTTTTGTCACAATATTGAAGGAAATATTTGACCAAAAGGGCGAAAAAATATTGTCCAAAGGGAAGTCGAAGTATAAAGTGGAGTAAAAAGAAACCAGTTCGCTCGGCCCAAGGTGAGGCCACCGGAACGTCAACCTTAAAGTCAAAAATTGTGTACCAATATCTCATGAAACCCTGAAGGGACACGAAAGGTGCGATAGGTTGTAGGCCAATAGCGATTCCTTTACATGTTTCAAATCCAACGGATGCTGGAAATGTTAATGAATCAATGACAGGCTTATATTCACGATCTTTGATTATGGTACAAAGGTAATAAGCCTCATCATAGGTTCCCGTCATTATATTGTACCGATCCTCGACTCCAAGTAATCGTCCAATACAAGCCCAAACGTGCATTAACGATTCAACCTCACCACGAGTTATCCCATGGATTCCCACCTTGGCTGGGTTCATGATTATCGGGGCGATGACACACCAAACGGTAACGGCCATATCGTACTGGCTTATCCATACCGGGTTCTTACCTGGTTCGATAACATTTTTGTTCATATCGTTACCGACCCTTTTGTGAAAAGTGTTGACGGTTCTCAATGATTTATAACCAGCACTACCTTTTTCATAGGGATCTGATTCGTACCTGAGAGGTCAAAATAAAGTTCAAATTAATCTGAGGTCAAAATTTTTACGATCTTAAAACCAAGCAAAAAAAATGATCATTCACTAGATGATAAGATTAAGGCTCTTTGATTCAATTGAGTTTAATGTGAATCTAATTGTTGTGAACAACTAAATTAACCTGATTATCTTTCTCCATAAGTAGATGCTAATTGACGATTGTAAAGTTCATCAAAACAATGGAGGTAAATTTCTGGTTTCAACCATGAAACTCAATCAACATGATTGAATCAGCTGATTGATTGATGATGAAGGTAAACAAAATGTTTAAATGTTAGTTGATTGTTTTGTTGATCGTTGATTGGAAAATCAGATTGATTTGAGATTGGAAGATGAAAAGTTTCAATTTTACCATTTTTTAACATGGATAAAAACTGCCAGGTAACGAATGAATAATTTAGAGACACTGGCGTGGGTTCGAGTTGCCGCCAGTGGGGTTATCATGGTGGGAATATTGAACAGTATCGTTAATCCGATTGTGTGGCTTAAAAAGATACTGAAAACAAACAATCAAATTAAACATTCTGATCATAATAATAACATAGAGATTGTAATATCTAAACTTACCTGGCAAAATATTTAGCTGCAACTTGTTGGCCCTGTTTGAATTTCAGCTCATCAAACCAGGGTGGTTTCTCATCCCAAACATGAGATCCTGAGGTGGCTGATATACATGGTGCATCTTTCTTTATCTTCTGGTACAGGGTTTCACATTTAGAGATCACTTTTTCGTCTATTTTGGGCTCAAGTTTCATTATGATTTACACTTAAAACTAAAGCCAAAATGAGAAACACTTTCAATATCAACAAATCAACTGATTGATTTAATAAAAAAAAAGTATGATGATAATATGATTTCCTGTTTTCTTTAACAAGATGATAACGATAATGATGATGATCAAATCGATTGATTTGTCTTCGTTTTATTCACAGGTCGATATAAATATCGTTATTTGGATAAATCAATAAGTCGACTGATAAGTTAACAAAGTTGATGATAGATTCACATGAGAAACGAAATTAACTGAAAAACTTGGTACATTTAATATGTTACCCTTGTTATCCTTGGAAAATGATGATGAAAAGATAGACTTATCATCATTTATCTTCTTCTCTCTTTCTTTTTTGTTTATTTACTCTCATCTTTTCCTGAGGAAAACCGGTGGTTTTAAAAATCCTCCTCTTCAAAACCCGCACCCACTCAAAATCCTCATTGATCTGATATTCTCAGTAGTAATTATCTTCTTCCTCTCATTCGGATTATCGACGATTCTGTTAATTGTTATCTAATGGTTATTGTAACTAATTAGTCTAATTGTTGTCTATTTTTAGAAAGTTGATTAACTTCGGAAATTCTATTCCAACGATTTCCATGAATTTCTGCGGAAACTTTTTTCTCGCACGTTACGATTTCGTTTATTGTAACGTTCAACTGATTGAACAATTAGTTGATCATAACCAAGGATTTTTCAATCTCTAAATATTCATGGTAATTAATTGTCACAGTTGATTCAATTCATAAATTGATTGCAACATATTAGATAAATAAATACAAGGACCTAAGGCTGATGAACTTGGTGATTTAGTGATTGTGATTAAGATTAAAATAAATCAGGTTGATCAGTTGATTTGATAATTAAACTGTTAATTGTGATTCTGGAAATGAAAGCAAATTGTCCTGAAAATGGTGAATTTAAATGGAAACAAAATAAACTTTGATTGTCTAAATTGATTTGATTCAATGTTGATGTTATGTTAAAAGTAACAAGTTTGACTTGTCCTTTTAAATTGTCAGCTTAATTGTTGATTTAATCAATCATCAGAGTAAATCATTAGCTCATGGTCACTTAAATTGCTCCTTGAAAGTTGATTTAAAACACAATCTTGACCATGAAACTATCCACTGGTCAGACAAGATAATTAATGAGTCTATGATGAATAGTAATCAAACTTATTCGTTGAGGTTCAATTTCCCATGTAACAATTGAAGCTAAAATTAACTATGGAATCGTATTCAGAATTGACTGTGATCCAGTTTTCAGATTTTATCGTTGATTCAAATACGTGAAAAAATTGCTTTAAATTTTATTACGAACTCATTGAGATTTGCCAAGCAAAAAGTAAAACAAATAGCCTCAGGGTAAAAGAAGAAATTTATTACCAAGTTACCAGAATTTCTTTGCAAAATCGTATCTTTGCTCGACAATTCTCTGGACAGTTCTACAGCCTCTGATTATCGATTTCGATTCTTATGGTTACCTGAGAATCAAAGAATTTTTGAAAAAAAAAAGATTTTCTATTCTCTAAACTTTGAATGCTTGGAATCGAATGATAATTCTGATAATCAAACGCCTGATGATTGGAACCTACGAATTAAAATTCGTAGAAAAGTTTAATGGACATTTTTATGTGTTAGAAATTAATGTTAAAGCTCAAGGAGATTTTATTTTTCAAGGTCAAGCTTAGTCACCATCATGTCCAATCAATGGGTCATCAAAAGATGACAAGTTCCTGTTGTTTGGTATCAATTTGATCAAATCAATTTTCTTTGCCCTCAAGCGATCAACAATTAGCTTTTTAAAATTTAGATTTGATTTGATTCCTCTCTTTTTTTTGTATTATCACTGATTATCTCAATTATTATTATTGCCTGTACAGTTTGAGTTAACCTTTCCAAAAGTTTGACCTTGTCCATATCTCATCTTTAAATTGTTGGTATTTTAATTTAATCATCATCATCATTAGAGGTTTAGGATTTAATCTTGCTTCTTAATCAATCAAAAACCATTTTTTTGTGTGTCCAAATCAACATTCAGGGTCACCAACAATCAAAATTAGTCTCAGGTTACCAATCAATTTTTACTTATTATTTTCATCAAGATTAAAATTATTATTATCACTAATCATTATCCCTCTGATTTGTATTGATTAAATTGTTCATCAAATCATATCTGATCAAATGTTTAATTGCTATTTTCTTGTTGTTATCAATTTCTATATGATTTTGACTCAAACTTTTCTTTTCTCAGATCAAATGTCGACTCTAAGGTCACTTTTACAAACAGAGAGAGAGAGAGAGAGAGAGAGAGAGAGAGAGAGAGAGAGAGAGAGAGAGAGAGAGAGAGAGAGGAAAAGGAAGTGAGGAGGAAAATTTCTGAAAACTGTAAAGAAAGTTTTCTTGAAACTTTTTTCTCTTTCTATTGATTCATTTTCGTTCATCAATTGTTATCGCGATTCCAGGAACCATGTTCACGGTTAAATATGTATTTAAGCATAAAATATTCTCAATAAAATAAAACGATAACTTGGAGATGACCAGAGGTCAAAGTTTTTCGTTCAAGTCTCAAAATCCGGTCATTCGAAGTAAAATATTTATGAAATCAACGGCTTCTTTATCGAATTTGGTTTGGATCAAATTTTCAGTACAACTTTGAAATCGTCGGTAAGAACAACAACCAGCAGGAATCCTACTGATGATTTTAATCAGTTAATTGTGATTGATCAAAACTCTTTACCACTTTGGTAATAGTGAATCGACACTTGAAATACTGGTCGAGCTACTAGAAGATGATGAGATTGAAAGTTTGTCTTCGAATTCAATTTGTTTCATGATTGAGGTGAAAACATCGATCCAATTACGAATAATTTCATTTTATAATTTCAAGATTAAAGATCATTGGAGGTTTCAAATGCAAGGAAATTTGATTATTTTCCTTCGATGCTAATAATTATTTCTAAATCACGGAAACGACGAACAATCCATTCGGCTAGATGACTTGCTGATCAGTTCAATGTTCGAACCAATTCAACATCAATGAAAAGACCACAACCAAGAACATCGCCAGTAAATGGATAAGAATTAGAAAGGTCAATAAATTTCTCACTAAGAAAAGATCCAACAACAGACTCTTGACCCATCAGGTTATTTTTTTCGATAACATCAAGAACGGCATTCGCAATGGCCATTGAACATGAACTTCCACACTAACTGTTGCCCTTGAAGGTATAGTGGGAGATAATTTAATACAGTTATAGGAAATAAAACGATAACTTGAAGATGACCAAAGGTCAAAGTTTTTCTTTCGAGTCTCAGAATCAAGTTGAAAGTTTGAACGAACGATTTGTAAAAAAACTCCACTAGATGGCGACTCAAGTCTCTAAATTGAATTAAATTTGAGAAAATTTTTTTCAACAATTAACTTGATTAAGAGGTTCATTGTCTTTTCCATTGTAAGAATAATTTAATCCATTAAAGTTAATTGTCTAAAATATAAGAAATTATCAAGTTAAATATAATATAAAACCAGCACCTCAGAGGGGAAATAAATAATTAAGGAAATGTTGGTTAACCAAAGAAATTTAAATTAACACTTAAAGATCATTTAATTAATTGTTAACCATAAGGTAACCATAACCTTATGATTAAATTGTACTTTAATTGTTGCTAATCAATGGTGAACAATTAACAATATGATTGTACATTTGATTGGAAAGAAAAAAGTTCCATTCAAACTGATCAATACTTAAGATTTATTAATTATCTTGATTATTGTTGTTCCATGATAACAATTAACATAATGTAAACTTGAAGGTGATTAAAAATGTGCTTAATTGCTGATGAATATAATTTTAATTGTCTACTGATTGTCTCAACAATTAAACACCATTATTCTGATAGTGATTGTTACTAATCATTAGTCAAAGAAAAAAAAAACAACAGAAAAAACAACAATTTGTTACAATCAATTAACTTTAACAATAAATTGATCATGTTAATTTAGTTAACAAATTGTAAATGTTTTGCTTATCAACAATCAATAACCATTGAGATTAACAGTTTTAATCTGATTTGAAAGCAAAGAGGTTAAAATGAAATCCATTATAACCTGTCTGTGAATCTCATTTCCGCATCCTCTTCAATGATGATCATCATCATCATCGCCCAACTAAATATCTGCAACAATTTAAACTTCAATCATGTAAACATGAAAAAAAAATTCATTTTTTTTCAGGTTGAAACTCAAGTTGAGTGGGTGGTCAGTCATCATCATCATGAGGATAAAAACCAAGGATGAAGTAGAAAAAAACTCTTGATCGTCATGAGATGATGAAGATAATAAAGATAATACAAGTTCATTGATAATGAAGATGAAAGATGATGAGTGAGAGAGAAAGAGAAAGTTGATGAAGGAGTAATTTGAATGTTTATCATCGTCATGAAAGAAAAGATGAAGGATGAGGATGAAGAAGAAGAAGATAAATCAAAGATGATGTTATATCAGTGGAAAAACAGAAAGGGATGAAGATGAAGATGAAGAAGACGAGGAAGATAAGTTTTTTCTTTAGTAATTAGAACGGAAACAAAGAGTGAGAAAGAGAGAAGAGAAAACTTGATCCAATTTCCAATGTATTTCCTTTTCCTCTCTCTCTCTTGCATCCTCCTCCATTGCAATGACCCTCACAGTGTATTGAACACCCTGATGATACTTATAATTGTAACAATTAACCATCACAATCAATGATTAACTTAAACTGTTTCCTTTGGTTAGAAATATTCAAAAACAATCAATCACATCCTCTCAAAATCATTGGTCACCAAAATATCAAAATTTGCCGTTAACTATTCATCCCCATAACTGACCTCTCACTCTCTCTCTCTCTCACACACACACACTATCTTACTCTTGTCCACTTTCACTGGTCATCTTTCATCATCTCTATTCTCAATTTTTGTCCTTCATTTTTATATAAACAACAAAAGAAGAAAAAAAAATTAAACATATCTTTAGATACGCAAGGTAAATTTAGTGAAGAAAAAACTTTTCATATCAATTATATCAGAAACGATTTAATATTTACCTTTACCAGAGATTTACCTGAGACTTTGGTTTACAATGATTGTTATTATGTTATTTTTAGCCATTTAAATTGTATGGAGAGAGAGAGACGTGAAAAGTAGTTGGAGGTGGGAAAAGTAAGGAGGACGTAGAGAGAGAGAGAGAGAGAGAGAGAGAGAGAGAGAGAGAGAGAGAGAGAGAGAGGAGGAAAAGAGGTTATTAAATGTTTCATTTCTCCATAAAATTATATTTAAGTTTTCCCTCTCCATTGAGGGTGGAAGGTGGAAGACGAAGAGAGGGAGAGGAAGAGACCAAAGAAAAGTGTATTAGATGATTTAGTTGATGATGATGATGAAGGGGAAGAAGGAAGATGGTAAGAGAGTGAGAGTGTGAGTTTAAAAGGAGGAGGACGAGGGTGGAAAACCAGTGACCTCGAGTTTTGTACTTTTCCACCCTCGTTATTGTTGTTTTCCTAAAAGGAAACCAAACCAATCGTTTTAAATGGTAAATAAAGTTACTTTCTAGAAGCATTTTAATTGTTGGTGTTTTTTGTCTCTACAAAAGATGATTAAATTGTAAGCAACAGTGATTAAGGTAAAGTGATTACAACAATTAATTACTATCACTGGTTTCCTATTTTTTTTTCTCTTGCCTATTTAATTGTTGTTGTTGTTGCTCTTGAATTCAATCAATCATGTTTTCCTTGTGATTGTACATCAATAAGCAACACATAACATTGAGCTTCAGATTTTGTAGGTTAAACCGATGATTAGACTTTTCAATTTGTTTAAACGTTGATTGTGATCAATGTGATGATAATGATAATTATCATCATCCAATCAACTTAGAAGAAAAAAATTCGAAAACTTTGTTTTTTGTTCTATCATCATCATGGAAACACCATCTTTGCATTTTTCATCCTCATCTTTTTTTTTCGCTTCTTGTTATTACTTTTACAGAGAAAACCACAAACGCTTGTAATTGGATCCGATGTAACTTATGCCGATAGAGGAGGAGGAAGATGATGAAGATGAAGATGAAGACGATGATGATGTTTATCTTCATGGGTTCTCATAAAGTCCAATTACAATGGTGGAAGATTTTTTCGTCTTTGAGGCGAATCGTTTTTTTTTACGCTTCGTTTCAATTCAATCTCTTCATTTGAATAATTTTTCCTCTGTTTCTGTTGACCTTTAGCTGACCATTAGCTTTCAAATGTAATATTTGACTTGCAGATGACCACAAAGGTGTCAACAATATAGTATTTATATTTATATTCATTATTGACCATTAAGACAAAAACAAAGTAATCAACTAATTAGTTACAGTTACAATTATATCCAAAAGCTATTAAATAATAAACACATTGGGATAAATTGTTGTTGTTGTCGACCATCATTATTATTAATATTACAATCAATTAATTAACGCTTACAGTTTCCAAAAGTATATCAAAATCAACAACAGTAACAAACAAACTTTTGGTGTAATTAAAGTGAAAGTAATTAAGTGAACAATTAAGTTAAATTAATTATTTCCAGATGAAAATTACCTGAAGATAATGAAAAGACAAAAACAGTGAAATGAAATGATGAAACTTTTTCTCATATTTGATGATAATTATTTAAAAGGAAAAACAAAATTAAGTCAACAACATTTGAGCACTTGGTCAGTGGCCAACAACGACAATGACCATTGGTCTTGGTCCAATAATTGTAATCTTTTAGGTTAGGAAAAGGTATTCAAATGAACAAAGCATCATTTAAATCACCAACAACAACAACAACAATTAACTTGAGGTAAATTAGACTGAGATTAACATTTTGTTTTCCAGGTAAAATGATAACCATTTCCTACCAAGAAACTGGACTCTCTTGGACACCACGGATTAGCTATCAAATGTTAACAACTTTTTCAACGGATCTGTGAACACATGATTATATTACAATTGTATCATGATGATGATGATGATGATGATGATAATCAACATAAACATGAAGGTGTATCAAGATATTTTCCCAGGCTTTTGATAAGCAAAAGGATACGTATTCATATGAGTTTGTAGTCTCTCAGGGTAAAAATTCAGAGTGACCAGAAATTCACAGAACTTATCATCACAATAATCATCAATTAAGATGATATCATCATCATTGTTACCTAAAGTTAATTGTTTCCTTTAGATTTTAATAAAATCTCATTTGAAAGGTAAAAAACTATCAACAATTTTTTTTTTACACTTTTTCCATCAACAATAATGATTATAATCTAGTCATCATTAATGATCATCATCGTGATTAACTTTCCATGGTGTTTAATGTTCAATCATAATTACATTTGGTATATTATTTACGTTTAGAATGAAAGAAATTGTTGATGATTATTGTTGATTAAATTGTTGATCAGAAAATAAAAGTAAAAGTAATTAATTAGTTTGATTGGCAATGGAACGAAAAGAAAAAGATGAAGAAAATTTTTTTCTCTCATTTTCCTTTTCCTCTTTTGGAATAGTTTTTGGTTTGGTTTTCTCGAACTCGAGATTTGAAAACAAGAAAAAAAGTTCATCAATTTCTGTTCATCCATTTAGAACACTGAAATTGTGTATTTCTGGTCGATTTACTTGAAAGATAATTTAACCAATTGGATAATATAATTGTTGTTATGTTTACAATTAAAATTAATCCATAATTAATCCAACAGTTTTTCAGCGGTTTTTGGTCAAGTCTCATAGATTTTAACACACAGACAAAGTTAATGTTTCAAAGTGGATTTGATATTAATTGACATTACATGCAAACAGAAATTAACGTTGATGTTTATTCAAAAAACTAAATTGTTTCTAACGATTTCAAATTAACTTCCGATGTCGATAAATTAAATTAACTTTTACCCACCGTGGGTTTGAATGTCTCTCTCTCTCTCTCTTTCTGTTTACATGTTATCCACTCTCTCCCTCTGGTATATATAAAAACCCACAGCGTGACTTTTAGACTTGATTGAAACCAGAAACATCATCTCAATTGTATTTACATTAGTAACGGTGATAATTAACATGAACATAATCAATTGAACTGAAAAATATAATTAACTCAACTTACTCAAGTAATCAACACAATCAATGATGAATTATCATCAAAATGTGAGGGAAAACTTTTTCCTTTCCTTTCAAAAATTCAATTCATTTCAATTCATTGACTGGACAATTTGATAGACACACAACACACAGTGGTCAGTGGTCAGTGGCCTTTAATTGTTTATGGTCACTTGTTGATCTTATTATTATTAATGATTTTGGTTTTGTTATTGGTCAATTATATGATCGTTTCAAGTTGTTGACCATTTTTTTTTCATCAAAACAACAACAACAAGATTTGGTTTATATATTGACCACAAATTATAAAGATTCAGGTAAATCTTTAGACTGACCATTAGACTAATTTTAGTTGCATTCCAAGGCTTGACCTTTCAACTTGACCAGTAACAGTCAATAACATTTTAAACCTGTCAAGACTTGAGATAATATCGGAATGTGTATCATTATTATTATGTTAAGCAATTATCATCATCATCATCATCATCATCATGATTAACTAACTGTTGGTCTTACCTTGATTATTTGTGTGTCCATGCATTTAACTAATCATTTAATAAGGTTAACAAAAAGTTTGACCTGTTGCAATAAACTGGAAACTAGATTATCAAGCAAAATTAACAATCAACGATAAGAATTAATATATTTTGATTGTAATTGTTAACAATTTACCAATAATCAAATAATATAAACAACAACAGAAAACACAAACATCATTCCCAAAGATTGTAAATGTAAGTTAATACACTTGATGATCTGCAATCTTAACAATCAAATATGAATCAACACTCACACTCAGAATTAATTGTCAATCATTTATTGATAAATTGGTTAAGTGGTAAACTTTTACCTGAACAACAATACACATGATTAACCAGAATGATGATTAAATAAATCAGGTAAACATAATGATCAACAGAATCAAGTTTTTTTTTGGTTGTTCATTTAAGACAAAATTTTGAACAATTTTTATTGAAATTTGATTGTTTTTTTTTCGCGCTTTTTTTGTGCATTTCTCATTTTCATTCATTATCAAATTGTCTCAGTTCAATTGATATAATAGATGAGGAACATTGAGATGTTGATTGTTACAAGTTGATTGAGAATTAAATTGTTGTGGTTTTTGTTTTAATACAAGAAGAAGGAGAAAAAAAGTTCTGGTAAAAAAGTAAAATGTGAAAAAAAAGTTATAATTGTTTATGAGACTATGATCACATTGGAGATAGAGGAATAAGTAATAAACAAATGCTAGGAATTCAGTGGTATTGGTCAGTTAAAGTCCAGTGTATGCTGAAAATAGACGGGACAAAACGCTGTTGCTTCGAGCACCTTTGGGTAAAGTTCCCGGGGCGGGTAATAATGATGTACACTCGTTGGTTTGAGGTCCATACCCTTGGCAGATTATATCGGGTAACCGGGAAGCGGCCATTCGGAGTAAAATATTGATGAATTCAACGGCCTCTTTGCCGCATTTGGTTTCGACCAAATTTTCAGTACAACTTTGAAATCGTCGGTAAGAACAACAACCAGCGGGAATCCTACGATCCCATTCAACGGAGGTCACAATTTCCAATGCTGATTGTAAATCTTTTACACAAGTTTTCTGACCTTTGGTCGCTTGACTAAGACATGGAGCGTGTTTGAGGTAACTTTGTCGCAATTGTGTTCCAGAGGTACAATATTCAGTCAACAGGCGATTTCCACCTTCGCTAACGAAGCCGATCAATTCCCGTTGAAGTGGAGTTGTACATTTACGGGTAAAGTTACGAAGGCACGAATCGGCCTCCTTCAGGTAACCACACTGTTTATTTAATTCGGCATCATTAGTACCAATTCCTGGTGATTAGAAGTAAATTTTTGTTACAACACAATTAAAATCAATCGATTCGATAATTTTTTTTTATTAGTTCTTTCAATTAGTAAATTTTTTAATTCCGTTAAAATTTTATTTATATAATTAAGGTTAATTGTTTCAGCTCTTAATTGATTGGTCTTAAAGTTTTTTAACACACACAAACAATTGAAGGTTAATCAATTGTAACGTTGATAGTTAATTAAGACTAATTGTCAAGTGATTAAATATTATTATGAATGTCAACTAATTTACTCAATGACAATTAACCTCAAGGCTGATTTAACTTTTAATTTGATGAAAAGGTTAACAATTTTTTAATTGTTATCTAACTAATGAAGAAACAATAATCAAACAATTAATTTCAGGTCAAATTGTGTTGAAGGTTCAAGATTCAAGTGATTAATAAATTGTTTAACGACAACAACAATTTAAAATGTCAACTATTGCAAATAATTATAATTTCAAGTATAATTTGTAATCAATATTGACAATTACAATCAAACCAATTGTATTTGATTCATGTAATTGATTAAAGTGATTAGCTAATTGTGAAGGAAATTATAAGAAAAAAACAATAAGAAAAAAAAGGAAAACTTTAATTAGGACAATTTGATTGGTGTAACGAGAGACAATCAATTGATTGTGGAAGAAAATTTAATTGATTAATTTAACCTTCCAATTGATTATTGATTATTAAAAATATTTGATAAATTGGTTGACAAATCAATTGATTAATCGCGATTGAAATTAACCATAATCAAGGTAACATGTTGATTACAATTTAATTGATCCAAGAGATTATGGATAATAGACAATAATTAACTAATTTAACCAAAAATAAGCAAGAAAATCAAATCAATCAAATTGATTGAAAAGTTATCATTAGATTTGGTTAATAGTTTGGTTACTTTTTTCATCTCATTTCCTGATTGTAATTTTTAATCCTCATTATTTATTGTTAATCACCATCATTATTAATAACAATTAACAAGCGGAAACATTTTCAACGAAACAATTTAGGCCTTAATCATAATCTTCAACACTTGAAACCTGAAAGTGATTAAGTAAATCGAGTTAATCAAGAAAAAGTGAAATTTAACTCGTACAAATTGATTAACATTTACAAAAAAAGATCCGACAAAAAATATAAAGTAAACATAACATTTGAAATACACTTTTCTCAATTTATATTAATACATTTGAAAAAAGATTTCAACTAAATTAACTGATTAACTTGTTCCAACAATAAATCAGTAAACTTAAGTTTCCGCTGATTAACTTAAATCATACAGATAAATTTGGAAACCCTTTTTGTTGTTGTTGTTGATCAGCAAAATAACTAATTAAACTTTTCGTTTGTTGTTCAAAAGTAATAGTTAATTTTAATATCCTCATATTGATGATAATCAATATACAGAATATATTTGATAATAATAATAATTAATTGATTAGTTGACTTTTGCTCTTGCACAGAGGGAAAAAAGGTTCAGATTAACATCATGTATAAATATATTGGAGAGATTTGGGTTTGTGTTTAAATATTTAAAGTTTGTAGAATCAAAATTAACTGTATAATGTGTCCACCAGATCAGGATCAATTGAACTGAACCAAATGATTAGTGAAACAATTATAATTAAAGTACAACAGGTACATGGTTTTACTTGAAGAAAATAGGAAACCAGATAAAAGGAAAGTAATAACATTTGATTCTGTAATAGAGTTGAATTAGTCGCTTTCGGGATTGTTAGAAGTGGAATCAGATTATGTAGACATAACATTATCTGGTGGAGATGAAGATGATCACCAATTAGTGGAGAAAATTAAAACTAATTTAATTGTGAACAGTAATTAATAATTAATACTCAAAGTAACAATCATTTTCATGGTAAACAAATGATGAGAAAATTTTTGTAAACAAATCTTATTGGCCAATCAAAAGTTAGCCCGCCAACATTTGAAATGGAAAATTTGATTAACAGAAAATTATTTTCATTGTTTAAATTTAATATTTTTAATTGTTTTTGATTTGATTTGATTTTTCTTTATGTTTATTGTTAATTGTTGTCCTTTTAATTGATTAATTGTTTTTCTTTGATTGGGTTTTGTTGGTTATTAGTTTTTTTGTTATTTCAAATTATTTCCGTTTTCTCTTGAAATGTCAATCAAATTGTTTGACCTAAATTGTTTGATCAATTGATTATTCTGAGCCTAATCAATATTATCTTATCAAAACAATCAATTGGTCATCTAAAACAAGGAAGTGACCAATTAATTAAAGATCTAGTTCATACAATTAAACAATTTTCGCTATTAATTTAAGTGGAGAAACAAAATCACAGGAAATTTTTATCATCAATTGAGAAAAAAAATGAAAACTTTATCACAATCAATTTAAAGTGAATTAATTAACCAAAATACTACGAAAATTTTTTTGTCACAATTAACAAGATAATCAATTGATCAACTTACCTCCCGAAGGATTTTGAGTAAAGACTAGTAAAGTTGCAGCACATAAGTCCAACTCTCGTAAATGACAAGTTTGACCATATCCTTGACCAGCGACTACGAGTTTGAATATGAATAAAATTAAAGCCAAATTGTAACAATTAACCACCAACATAAACTTTAAATGATCAATAAATTGAGATAATTTTACTTACATAATAAGATTAGAAAACACAAACTTATCCCAAAGTAATTCATTATTATCGATTGTCAATTAAACTACACAATACAAATTCGTAACAATTTGATCAACTGTTGAGTCGAGAATAAAGTTTCACTTGATCTAATAGAGGAGAGAAATGAAAATGACTCGAATGTAACAATTGAGAATGTAATTAAATTGATTATCGAGAATCAAGTGAAAGTGGAAAGTTACGATAGAGAAAACAAAAATTAACGAAATTGCTTAATATTTACCGTTACAGGTCAGCCTCTTTTTTAGGCATCGCCTTAAAACCAAATTAACGTGTTTCGCTTTTCGTTGATTTCAATCGTTAGTTGGGTTGGTGATGTTGTTTATTAATTGCTCATGATGATGATGATGATGAGAATCATCATCATGTTGATTGGCTTTTCTTGCGATTATCATCACTTGAAATCGTAAAGGTAAAAGTAGATTTTTTTCTTCTTCTTCTTGATTCTTGCCAGGAGGTTGTACGAATCGGTAACATGTTACCTTTAATCTCTCACTGGTTCGATCTAATTTAATCCAGTTTTCTATAATTAACTCTATTAAATTATGTAACTGATTCTGTCTCTCTCGATATCTCGATATCTCCAATTGTATTAGTTTAATTACTACAATCAAATGTACTGCGATTATGTATCTTGTGGATAAGATTGGAGAGATTGATCAATCTTGAGTTTGATTTTCGTCCAACAATTAGTAAATTGTTCCCTGTGAGATTTTCACAATTAAATGGTGACATTGTTTTTGTTTTTATTAAAGCTTATTGATTACATGATAATTTAACATGATATGAGTTTAATTGATGAATCACTAGTGATAATTTACTTCAAGATTACTAATTGACTTGCTAATTGTTGTTTTTAAGTTACTCAATTGGGAAACATGTGTAAGTTAATCAGTCTCATGGTGATTATAATTAGGATGATGATGAATCAAATTACAATTTAATAATAACATTTTTTTACTTTACTAATTATTTTTAACTTAACATCTCGGTAATTTGACATCTCGTTCATTGTTAATTGTTAATCATACCTGTAATTTAATTAACATCATGTTAACTTTGGCAAATTATTAAATTACCTTAAGATATATCAGATTTACCTGTTAATTGTTTATGTTTGATTGTCAACCTTAAATTATTGTGATCATTTGACACTCAGGAACATAATTATTGTATCAAAAATGAACCAAAAAAAACACTTAATTGTGCAAATGATTCATGATTAATTGTCACAATTATCGGTGTTAATGTTCAAGTCTTTATTTTTTACTGATAATTACATTGTTGTCAATTGATTATTGTTAATTGTTGACAATTTAATCAACCTGAAGGTGTCGAAAAGTACAAATTGATTAGAATCAGAAACAAAAAGTTATTCGAGAATAAAAAAAAAAGTCAGTTTTCACTTTTTCTCAACCAAATTTACTAATTGTTGTCAAGTAAATCACTCGACTCTCAATCTACCCAATTGATTTGGTAACTAATTAATTGTGATCAATTATCAAATGATAACACGAAAAGGTACACAAAGAATATGAAATATTTTCGCAATTTAGTTAATTGTTCAATCAAATGAAAAGGAGTAAATTGTTGAAGGTTAAAAACACAATCAACTTTAACAACAATCAAAATTAATTACAAGATTAAAATGTTGGCCAACAATTTAAAATTATCTTTATCACTTTTGTTTCTCTTCAATTTGATAATTTCTCCAGGTAAACCATTAACTTAATCATGAATATTAATAGTGGAAAAAGATTAACAGGTAAAAATAAAAAGGTAAGCGAATCAATAAATTAACCAGGATTAAGAGACTAGACAATTGAACAATAAAACAATTTACAATCAGTGATAAATGTGAATGGTAACAATTTAAATTGTAATCACATAAACAAGTCAAATTTAAGTGAACGAAAAACAAAAAGTTGAATGAGTAAAGGTAACATTTAATTACTAAATCATTTTGAATTGAATCATTTCCGTTTCCAGAGAGAGAGAGAGAGAGAGAGAGAGAGAGAGAGAGAGAGAGAGATAAATATATAAGATTGAAAATAAAATAAATATAAAAAACAACAAGATAACCATAAGATTAACATCATCATACTAATAATCATCTTAATCATTATAATAATAACACTAACTCATTACAATTTACATCATTTACCTGAGTGATTACCTTGTATCAGAAGCGCAAGTAACCATGATAATAATAATTATCATCATTATGATTAAAAGTCAAAGGAAACAGAGATTTAAGCTATTGAAAGATAATTAGATGAGAGAGAGAGAGAGTGATAATGTAAGAGAGTCAAAGATAGACAGGTAAATGAAAGCAACAGGTAAATGATGGGCTAGTAGATGAACTTTAAGAATCTTTTTTTTTATTATCATCTTTTTTTTACTTTTATCTGACAAAACCATTTCATTCATAATGTTGAAGGTCAATCTCTCGATTTTGAGTTAATTTTTTCATTTTACCTGTTCAATAATCAGTTGACTATTTACCTGTGTGATTATTTATATTCACCACCCTCTTTAAGGAGGTAAGATGAGAGAGAGTCAAGTGAATGCTAGAAAAGTTTGAATAATTTTTATACAACAGTGAATACAAACATTACCTTTGGATTTTACAATCGTATTGTTTGTTGATTATTATCTGATGATTATCATTTGATTTTTTCTTGTTGCTCATTATCATCTTCATCATCATCATCATGGATGATGTTGTTAAATTGTAATAGGGAGAGGGGAGGTGACAGACAGTCAGCTTGTGATGGGTTTTCATTTGATTGTTGATGATTTTTGCGTTGATTGTTGTAGTTGTTGTTGTTTTTTTTCACTAGTTGTTTTGGTTTCTTGGTTTGCTTGTTGCTGTTTGGGTTTAAGTGGTTTAAATTAATTGTGTGATGAAGAGATGAAGATGATGAAGATGATGATGTTGATTATTATCGGAATGATTATCGAGATGATGATGAAGAAAACAGGTTGCAAATGTTTCTCTCTCTCTCTCTCTTTCTCTCTCTTCATCATCTGAAGATTGAAAAGAAATGGAAGAAAAAAAATAATATATACTCAACTTGTCTTTCTTTTTCTTGATTCTGTGTTTCTACTTGACTGATTTCAGTGATGATGATTATGATGAAGATGATGAGGGCTGACAAACAAAGAGAGATGATGAGAAGAGAGAGAGAGAGAGAGAGAGAGATGAAGATAAAGGCTATAATGCTTGAATATATACATAACTTGAATGCTTGATGTTAATCAATTATTTTTCTTTGATTATTTAGGAATCATTCATTTGATAAACTTAATTAAATTTTCTGATAAAAATTTAGAAATTAGAATTTTTCCAAACTGGAAAAACATCTATGGAGAATTGACTTACCTAAAACAGAGAAAATTATCGAAAATCACACAATTTATAGGCAAAGTCAATTCAAGATGTACTTTACAAAATTTCATTAGAACCAAAAAGTTATCAGGTTTTATGAAAACTGAACCGAATACATGTGATTTTGAAAAAATTTTAATCCTAGACCGTAATGTTAATTTTGTAAAAAGTGAAAATCAATTTGCACCAAAATCTTTTAATTTCTAAAATTTTATCAGAAAATTTAATTAAAAGTATTAAAATTTGAATGATTAGCTCTAAATTAATCAAAATTAATTGTCCAACTAATCGCAATTAAGCGTCAAAAACGTTCAAATGTTTTATGTACCGACCTGTATATCTAATCTTTATTCAATATCTGAAATTATCCAAACTCACGATTCCTAAAACAAGAAAACTCTGATTCTCTTTATCATCCCTTCTCATCCTCATCTTTTGCATCCTCATCATCAGTAAACATCTTGACTTGAAGCTTCACAACAAATAGGCTCAAATTTCACTCACTATTTTTTGAGAAAATATTTTCTTCTCTTTTTCCCTTTTTTCATCCTCATCCTAATCTTTATCACCACAGAGCGAACCGGTCTGAGATGATGATGAGAAGGATCAGAAAATATGAGTGAGAGAGAGAGAGAGAGAGAGAGAGAGAGAGAGAGAGAGAGAGAGCCTGATGAAAGTCAAGAGAAAAGTGATTGAATTGATTGAATTTTATTCCAGAGTTTTTTATTATTATCATTATTCAATATAATGCCAGGTTAACAGTGATATGAGATTATGATGATGATAAGAGAGAGATTAGGATGATAATGATAATGAAGAAATCTTTAGACAGGTTAAAAGGTTCATACTGTAAGGATGATGTTTTTAAGAAGATGAAGATAATGACTACAACTGATGGAGAATCAAAATTTATGTCTTTATGTGAAGAGGAAAAATCTAAACCTTCACAACTAGAGGCTACTTTAAATGACCGTTTAAAAGAAAGAACGAAATAAAGAGAAAAAGAGAGAGAGAGAGAGCAACTTGTCTTCCCTTTAAACCAGATCCTCTTTTATCATCATTTCAACTCGATCCCGAGTGGGACAAAAACACTTTGCGTCCGCTTACACTTGGAACAGCATCATTTCCGCTTCTACTTTTCCTCATCCCACCCCCTGATCATCATCATCTCTCATCTAATGTTATCCCAATGTAGACCAATATTTTCACAGAGACATTTTTTTTTTGTTCACAAGAAAACCCAAACTAAGACTTTATCCACTAATTGTTGCTGTTGATTGTCGATGGGGTTGATTGTGGTTCCTCTCTTCTTGATTGTCAAAAGAAAAAACTTTTCACTTGTGATGATGGTCAAGTTTCTCAATCAATTCTAGTATTTCCTTTCCCACGAGCTAACGTTTTACTATAAAGAAGAGTCAAGAAAAAAAGTTATCAATGAAAAAATAGACTTCACTTTTTTTTGTCTGTTCGAGAAAAAAAAAAGATTACACTTTCATTCATAAAGTTTACTATTAACTCGCTGATAGTAGTAACTTTTCATTGAGAAAAAAAAACCTTCATATCGTTGGAAATGCTTATTGTTATTATTATTTTCTCGATAACCTTTTACCTTGGGAAAAAACATCATCATCGCAAAGGGGGTTAGATATAAGTGCCAATAAAAAAAGGTCTCACAAAAGGTAAACCTTAATATCTTAACAATAAGAATATTATTACAAAGACTTAATTTCTCATCATTGTAACTACCTGTTCATCATGTGAATAAATAAATTCCCATGTTATTATCTTGAAACCAGAGTACAATCAACATAAAGGCAAACAATCATCATCATCTTCCCCATTATGCAACAGAAAAATCATCAACGTCCTTTATTTTCCGGTTCCGGGGATCAGTTTATCAATTCTCATGATAGATTTTCCTCTTATTGAAAGTGTTTCATATAAAAATTGTGGAGAAAAAATTTCCATCG